AATCAAGGTAGGTTATCACAATATTAGTGTTTTAACCAATGTGATAAGTTTCTGGGATGGTAGAAAGCTGATTTTAGTAGATGATTGAAGAAATAATCCTACTTAGGATACAGTTTTTGCAATAGGAATAGAAGAAATAAGCATAATGTGATACCAGAACCAAGAGAAAAGGAGTATATAACAATGCCAAAATTATAAAAAGAGAGGAGAAAGACATTTTTGGGAAAGACAGTCCTTTACATAAATACTTCAGTTGAGTTGGTAAATGGAAAAGAGTTCCACTGATCTTGTTTACTGTTCCATCAATCCATTAGATATTTCTGTAGTGCTGTTTGTTTCTTTAATTTGACATTACCACTTATATGTCTTGTGAAATACCATTTGAATGCCAGGGCAACTGAGATTTTGGAACACACTGTTGACAGCTGTTTTGGAACTACAAATACGATGTGTGCTACATCTGGTGAGTCCAGAGTGAAAAAATACAATGGAAAAGCAAAATTTCTCATTTGGAGCTGCTGTGCAGGGTTTACAATATCCAAATACCTTACTCAGTAAAGGGACTGTTTAATGACCTACCCACAGAGATAGTTTTTTATAATCAGTACAAAGATTGATTTGAGTATTTCTGCAAAGCTGGTCCATTCTTTCTAACTAGGAAAACTGACACAGAACATGAAAGAGAGATGCTTTAAATGCGTGACTAAATTAAATCAGTGAATCAATAAATGATCTAAAAATATTTTGTCATTAATTTTCATGACACAGCCATGACTATGCCAAGCAAGGCATCATGTGCACTCAAGCCTAATAAAGTCTCATACCTATGACTCACTGGCAGAAGTAGCAGCTGGCCTCCTGGAAGCTGCAATGAATAATCAAGGGATTTTTTGGTGTCAGGCTAACATTGTAGACACTACCAAGTGAAAGAGAGTGAAACCAAAAATAATGTACTTAAAAAAGTTAGAAGCATAACAGCCAGGTGAGCAGTGTTATCTCTGCCAGCTCCAGAACTGACTATTCTTCAAAGTGAGTTTTGGTGTGTGGGTATGTGGGTGATCTAGATGTCTGCACTGATCTGCTCTTCTCCTAGTCCTGTTATTTTACCAAGAGAAAGAAAGAAAGACTAAACTAGCAACAGAAGAGACTGGCATGCACTCTACACTGCTTCTTTTTCCCTTTCTTTCTTTCTTTAAACAGAGGTGGAGGTATCAGACTGTGGAATAGGAGTGTCAGACATACTGATGTTGCTCTGGGTCCCTGAACTGATTCGGGCTGACCATTCAAATATGAGAACTTCAGTATAGGTGGGTACTTGGCACTCAGAAGACAGTGCCCTCAGTACTTACAGGAATCTAATGGGGAACTGGAGAAATCACAAGGTCATCTGTTAATTCAGACACAAATTTTCCTTTCAATTTATGTTTCAGATGGCAAATTTTTCTCAAGACTTAATGTATGGGACCATGAGAGGAACTGATAGAGCTAAAAATAAGTATTTTTTTTTTTCCAATTAAAAAGGTGCACAGTGATATTTTAAATGTCAAAGAAATTATAATTCAGGCTTTCATTGTATTATTATACTATGCTGAAGCTAACAGTTTTCCATTACTCCCTAAATAATATGTAATAATGATTTGAATAATATGTAATAATGATTTAGTGCACAGAATAAAAAAAAATTAAATATTCATATTGAACCACAAAAGTTCTGGAAACCATATAACATCTGGGTGCAGAGAAAACCCTAGATCACCCAACCATTGTTTGGCCATTGTTTCTGCAAGTAAAACCTCACTAGCTCGTTCAAGTTTGAAATACTACACAGTCTCTCAAACCTATTCTGGATGAGGGAAAACCGAAAATTAACATTTCATAGAGGTAAAATTGTAGTTCAAACTTTCTCTGACATTAAGGTGAATAAGAAGAAAGGTTTCTTAAATATAAGAGAACAATCAGGAATGTACAGGTCTCTCATCTAACAAACAATAACTTTTTTATGGTCAAGTTTTCTCTTCTTAAGAGAAAAATGGAGCTGACTAAGTAGCTTTGATATTTTCTCCATTTTCTTTTCCTAACAGTAGCTTTCACTTCATGTAAAATCATTCTGTGGTTGATATTCAAATCCTTTAAATATGTAATTTTCCCAAAAGCTAAAGTCAAGTTCTTTTTCTACTTCTTTAATACAGATTGATTAGATTGAGTGTCAGAACTCAACTAAGACCTTCTAATGATGGAGCTTGCTTCAGGAAAGTGAGTACTTCAACAACAACACTCGTGTTTTATTTCAGATGGAGAAAGTCTTTCTTTTGAGGTTGCACATTTCTGTGTACTGCAATGATCTGGATGGGATTTAACCCCAAAAATCTAAACACTTACATTTTGTACTTCTATTTGCTACAGGGCCTTCAACAAGGAGTTGTAGTGCTCTCAGGCTGTCCTAGGCTCTACTGAACTTCTCAAAATATGACAGCAGGGGAAGATTATTTTGATGACCACCTGTTCTTAGTTGGCTGATTTTGGCAAGGATTCCTGCATTTCCATGATACAATCTCACTGGCTTCAAATGAAAATACAGCCTTGAAACTGGAAGTGAAGAATGAGTATGATGCTGTGCTTGAACAAGAATATGCTGTTGCAGGCACAGAAGGAGGCACTCAATAGGAATCACCACTTTAAGCACAATGGTGAAGACAAGTCTGGATTTTCTTGTCCAGAAACCATCACCAAAGCTTCTAAGTGCATCCCAAGTGCATTTCTAACTGGCTTTATCAAATGTTCTGTTCTTCCTTCCAGACTCTGTTAAGCTTCACTGTCCTGGGCACTGATGTGTGCTGGAGAAAAAAGGGGCATCTTGATGCCAGATCCTCTGCTCAAAAGGGGATTTGTGGAACTGTGCAGAGTTGGAGAACACTCCATCCACCTTGAATAATATGGTACAGTGAGGTCAGACTGTTGTTATGTGGCACAACACAGCCTTGAAGAAGGATATAGTGCGGACATGAATGATCCTCAGCTCCCCACCAACCCCACTTTTGCTTCAGAGATGTATTCAGTATTCAAGGCTGGCACTCAGTTCATTAGAAGCACCCTGTCTCCAAAAGCCAGAAGGCTGAAAAGATTTAGGAAAGAATCAAGGAAATGTCAATAACCAAAGCAGTCCCCTTTCCAGCCCATCCTATCACCTTCTCACGCATTATAACATACCCATGATACTTTTAGTTTAGGAGGAACATTCTGGATTGATAAATAGAAATCAGAAATATGTGGGAAGTACTACTCTCAGGAATAAATGTTGCTGGTGGAAGGTCTGCATTTCCAAAAATGCATCACTCCTTGAAGGCTACAGTGTGTAGAAGAACTTGGGCACCTTTATTTTTAAAATATGCAAGTGTAAAAAGTGAATTTCTACTTTGCTCTGAAATTAAGCAACATTGATTGTGTTTTTATAATGTCATTAAAAATTTTAAGATTTCTTGTAACTATAAGAATATACTGGTTTTATGTGACACAAATGTGTGCATTAAGAAATTTTGGCTGGACAGAACATGAAATCAATCATATTAGGATCATCCTTTTCCCAGAACAAAAATGTCAACCAACCAAGTTTAAAAAAACAATTTGCCAACTCCCTTCCCTTCTACTCTACTTCTTTAAGACACACTGCATCTTAATTAATTAGACTTGATTTTTGGGGGGTTGATAGTATTACCATTTTAGCAATTCTCCAGTCATCCACAAAGTTTGTTATGAAGTCTAGATTCAACTTTACATTGACATACAGTAAAATTAAACAGAAGTACATCTTAAAAATTAGAAGAAAATGAGACAGAGAATATACGCCTTTTGGCTGCCATTTCAGGGTAGTATAGGCAATGTTCAGGAGTTCTCTAATGTAATACTTAATTTGGCTTTATTTAACTTATTCTGTAGTGTCACAAAATGTGCCATAGTCTTTGGCTTTGATTTTGCAACAGCATCTGCCTGAGTAGATCCTTATGAAGTCCCCTTCCTGAATGAGAGCTTAGATATTGTAAATCTATCCCAGTCATCCCTAAAGAGAAACTGGACTTTTTGACTGTCTGCACTCAAACCTCAGCACCTCCAGATGTAGCACGCATCTCAGCCTTCACTTCAAAACAGCTGTCAAGAATGTGTGCCAGACTTTCAGCTGTCATGCCATACAGTCAGGATCCCACACAACATACAAATGGTAAAGTAGAATTAAATAATGGTACATGATACCAGAAGAAAAATGCAATAGAGTTACAAAAGGCAGTGGTCATGCTCACTGACTTTACAAGAGTCAAAATTTTTCTGCTGGAGTGAGTTTAATACCAGAGAGTTCTAAAAATCATGAGTTTAAGATGTAGCTGCATTTGTTGAGAAAATATCTGCCTAACATATTTTTAAGAAAGGTGTCTTAAAATTTATCTGGACAAAATACCCCTTCCCTTTAATTTAGCTGTTATTTACTGTTCATGTAAAGCTCTTCTGTTCATGACTGATGAAGCACAGTGTGTAACTTGCAGTCTCCACATTGTGGTGTAGAAAAACCCTCTGAAACTGCCTTTATGTAAAATTTGGAATGATTTCATCAATTACTAACACTCTTCCTCAATATAAGTAGAACTTTAGTTAGTAGCGTACTTGACGAGGCAGATTAAGCTGACAACTTTCATTAGTCAGACATACAACCATTGTAAAAATCTTCCAAACCAGAAGGTTAGGCTTGAGAAATGAGACACTGGTGTTGGCAGATTCAGAGATATTTTTTCAACTTTATACAACAGTTCATCTGTGCCATTATAAATGGCAGAGAAAGTAATACACTGAAATAGATACTGATGGCCTGATACCGAAAGAGGCCAAAAAATAAGGAAAATTTAGATGGTCCTGATTAAGCAGTTTTATTTGTTGAATGCTATGACCACAAGCAAACCAGTTGAACTGAAACTCAGGTAAATACTTTTGCACTGCATTTTGAAATAAACATCATCATCAAAATAGGTGTGCACAAAATATATTGTGAGAATTATTTCATTAAGTATCTATATGATATGGCATTTAATTTTGTGTAAAGGCACTGTATGTTATTAGTTACACAGTATCAAATGAGGAAAAGCCCTCTCAGAGGTTCTCTAGACATTCTAGACATTGCTTTTATGCAAGATCAAGTCAGGCGAGATGATCTAATAGTCTCTTGTGACAATAACATTTAGAAATCTGTGAAAAAGTTTTAATAAAATATAAACCCAAAGATGATCTGGTATTTCTAAGTCTTTTAAGCTTTAACATTTCCCCACACCCCATCTCCCCACCTCCCAGTTTAGTGTTTATTTCAAAGTAATCAAAGTTTTTATTTCAGAATTTCTTGTGTATTTAAGCACATTGGTGACACTGGTTGTCCACTTTCCTGTTGTTATTCTAGAATTCAGTAGCAGTGGTGGTGGTCTAAGTAGTTAAACTTCTCATTCACTATTTGCAAAATTAAATAGAATGTTTAAAATGAAGTATCGGACCACAAAAATCCATCAACTTTATATTTTAAATGAATACCCTATAGATTTTTCCCTAACCCCCCATTTTACAACTTGCATGTTATCTTAAAAACTTGTCCCTTGTCCTTATAGCAGCCTTGCAGTACCTGAAGGGAGCCTACAACAGAAATGAAGAGGGACTTTTTCAAGGACATGTACTGACAGGACAAGGGGGAATGGCTTTAGGCTGAAAGAGAATAGGCTTACATTAGGTAGTAAGAAGAAATTCTTTACTGTGAGAGAGGTGAGGCACTGGAATGGGTTGCCCAGAGAAGTTGTGGATGCCCCACCCCTGGAATCATTCAAGGCCAGGCTGGATGGGCTTTGAGTGGTCAAAGTTGTCTCTGCCCTTGGCAAGGAGGTTGGAACTAGGTGATCTTCAAGATCCCTTCCAACCCAAACCATTCTGTGACTCTATTAAATAAGAATCCCATTAACTCCTGATGGACATAATGCCCTGACAGGTTAGCTATAATAAATGAGATACTTTGATTATTATAGTATTTTCAGTATGTCCTGCTAACGCTAAATTTAGACACTACCACTCATTGTATTATTTGCTCCCTATTAATGTAGCCTGTCCTTTTATTCCTGCCAAACAGCACTCATCTACTTGTTCCCAATGAGAACCTTACATGTCCAAATTAACTATTTCTAGATCATCACTTCAGAAACATTTCACTCTTTCAATATTTCAGTTTTATTGAACATCACTCATTTTGGTAAAGGAATTATGAACAGATCTTCGTAACACAACAGCAATTTTTCTACTGTAGGCCACCTAAAACTAAAAATGTAGTTCAGTTGCAGAGTGGGTTTGCTTTTTTTTTCCCCGTTTTTGAAAGATTGTAGTGACTATGTAGAGCTAATACAAAGTTCGGGCATTTGCTTGTGTTTTTTAATTAATTCATAGAATATTCTGCAGTAATAACAAAATGTGTATGTTCAGATGCTATTAATGAACATCAGTTTAAGAATCTACATAAAGAGCTAGACTAAACTAGTTTTCTTTTGCTTTGTATCCACTTAACAGCAATGGAAAGCACTCAAAGACAGTTGTACTTACTTGACTTTTGCATACCAGTTTCACAGACCCAAAGAATTATGTTTAAGCGAGCTGCCAAACCTGGGTTTGGTGCCAGACTCAATACTCTTACTTTATCACCAGCTGACCCACTGCTGTAATTCTAATACTCACTTTCTTGCTATACACTCATATTTCCTTACAAATAAGATTCCACAGTCACTGCAACATATCCCCCATTTCTAGGGGTTAAAACATGACTGGAAAAGTCTGTAGCCTACAAAACTACTGCTAATATTCACCTGAGTTTCTACCTGTGCTTATAATCTCCATAAGGCATTGGAATCACTAAATTTTATGGGTATCTGTATCTAAACTTACAATATTCACTGTAGCCTGACACTATCCCAATTGGTTTCCAGCAGAATTCATGCCAGTGGGCACAGTCTGGATCTGATTTGGAGGATGCGATGGAAATAGGGATCGTTAAAAACACCCCATTATCATATGGTCTGGTAGTTGGCTACAGTGCTGTTCTACAATCATGATTTAGTACAGATGTTTCATTTAAACTCTAGGTTTATAAAGGTACACATTTTTTTGGTTTACTCTGATTATAACCACAGTCTACTCCTCCCCAGTAATCAACTGCTAGAATTTGTCAAATGTTGTCATTTAATATGTGGGTCACTTCCAGTGCTGTGTTTGTTGCATGGAATGCTCCACTTCCATAGAAACAGATGTTTTAACTTAACAGCAGAAAGAGCTAAACAAGTGCATGTGAAGGCGCAGTGCAAATAATGTGTTTCATTTCTGTTATTTATAGCTGTCCACAGCTATCATAATTTTTTTATTTGAAAATTATTAAATCAATTACAAGAAGTTTATTTGCAGATACTGCCAAGAATGATGCATCCTAGGCAACTGCTTCTGGGGAAGTGTCTTCTTCTGGGCCATTGCAGAGGCATTTCAGTGAAGTCAATCCATTTCTGAAAGACTACAGTATAACAGGGTCTGTACACTAGGCCTCAGGTTATACATAGGAAAAAAAAATACCCTCTTTAGACCTCCCAGCCCTTCTGGCAGATATGTCAGGTGTTAGGGCAGTGGAGCTAGATTGTACTTAACTCCTCAGCATATTTGAAGAGGGCAAGACCAGCTGAAATGATGGTTAGCAGGAAGACTCATGGGAGAGGGCTCTGGCTGGAAAAAGGCTGAGCTGAGAGGATGGGTTTCTTCCTTCTTTCAGTTTTATTTGACTGAAATACATCCCACCCAAACTGGGAATTGTGTTTATATGAAAAACTAGTAATAGTCTTATCTAAAATGCAAGGGGGAAATATTTTTTTGAAACACAGAACTATTTCCACATACCAGAATGAAGAAACAAATCAGCCATCTGTGAAATTCTTTGCTCTTTAAAATCCTACCTGACTAGTTTCGGGTCACTGTAGGAGCCACTGATTTTTATAACAGAAGTGATGTTTGAAAGCGAGCCATACTGCATACTTTCCAAAGCACACAGACAAAATAATTTGCAACAGTGCTGTAATATTCCACATCCAGGGGCAGATCATGTAAAGAGTGAGCTGTGTGCAACCAAGGTAAGCACTTACAGCTGATACTAACATCACTTCCCAAACAGATCCCATAATTTTTACACTTGAGCCACAGGCAAGCCTGAAAGTACGGGCCAGATTACTTTAAAAGTTCACTGTGTTCCCTTTCACGCCCACCCAAAATGCCCTGGACGTGTACTCCACCCACCTATCCAGGGGTTTCTGTGCAGTAGTCAGAGCCAGGCCAGATGAGAGAAGTATCTATGTTAGGAAAGCCTCCACAAATGTGGGACACAAAAGCAGTAAACAAATCAATGGGATACCGACCAAATGTGTTCCACATTTGTGAAAATAACAAAGTTGAGTCAGGAAGAAAGGTTTATGTGTCTTCTCCTCATACAGTCCTTCCCAAAGTACTTTCTTTCAATCCCCCCAAAATTAAATCCAGCCCGGACAGCAGCAATATTTGTGAGTACACAGCACAGATCAAATGCATTACAAAGCCACTGACAGCTCCACGTGGCTTGGCATGAGGCACAGCTCAAATGGCTGAGCAGGTGTTTCCTCCCACAGTCCTCCTCCGTGCACAGGCGCTCTCTGAGTGACAGGGATGTGCCACCGCGTGGCACTGCTGGAAGGAACACCTGCCACTTGCAGTGGACCCAAGCTCGGGAGCCAGGCTGGCAACTTCTTCCCACACAACTCTCAAATCTCTGCCTCTGCCATGAATTCCTGCATGGTAAAATCTCTGAAACAGTTCTCTAGTCGTGAGAAAGACCTTGGGACACCTGCCTCCATTTGTACGAGTGACAGAAAGCCTCTCTGAAGGGACTTGTGAAACCACAGGAATGAGCTCACCTCTCCTAAACAGGTTACACAGCATCTGGGAGCTCCACAGTTTGGTGTCCAGTAGCTGTACTACAGCAACAGAAAGCAGGCACACAGGCAGTATGGAACAGAACTGCTCTTCAACATCAAATTTATATTAAACATTAAATGTAAAAAAATTAAATTACTGAAAAGTTTGTTCAAAGTTTCTGCTAATTCATTTTTCTATTAAAATCTTGACATTAAAAAAAAATCACTCAGGGCTATTAATTAAAACTGTGCTTTGGCACATCTTTAATGAGAGATGGGAATTTTTGAAAGCTGGGATATCTGGAAGGCTTTTTAAAGTCTTTTCAGTGTATTCAAACAAAATGTTTAATGTCCACCCATAGTAAGTGAGCACGGTCCAACCCAAGCCAATAAAGAAAAATACTGTCAGCTGATGGCTTAAAAACTTACACTTTAGACAAAAAGAAATAAGCCATCATGACTGTTTGGCAGCAGATCAATATGAAGATATCTTGCATTAATGCGTTATATATTTAGGGGTGGGGGATTTTATTTATTCAGTGAACTCAGTCCTTTCCTGCAGCAAATTTTCTACAGGGGAAGTGCTATAAATTTGTTTTGAATTAATTTTTGTCTTAAAAGTAAAAAGTCAATTCATGGTACAATTTACATGAATGAGCCATTTCATACTTGAAATTTAGAATTTCATTGTCCACCTGAGTCATTTATTATTTTTTTTAATCTTTGTTGGATGATGTAACCTTTATAAAGTGGGCAGAAGAACCTCAATAATTTACTGGGACTGTCATTCATTTAGAATCCTGGTTAAAGAAGGAAGATGTATTACACTAGCACTGGATAAGCAGATAAAGGAATACTAGGGTATTACATAGTTTCCTTGCTTTCTTAACTAATAAAATCATTATTATCCTAGATATATTGTCTTCATATTTAATATATGCTCTCTTCCTGAACAAATGAACCAAAGAAACATATTGCAATAAAACTCAACTGATTTAGTAGACCTCAAAATCCAGAATCGTTTTATGCATGAGCTATGCACAGTTTTGCCTGCACATTATAGTCACATTTATCTTTCTTCCTCTCATATGGTTATTTGCTATAGAGTCTGGAAAAAGGATTTGAGGATCCAACTTGAAATACCAATGAGAAAAAAGTCTTACTCTGTGATGTTAAGTGTGTCCTCTTTCTGCTTTCCTTTCTATTACACCTATTTTCTGTTCACTAGCTAACTAATCTTCGGGACAAACCTAAAATGTAAGGAAAAAGTTATAACAAATCTACAGTTTGCTTTCTGTACCTGGCACCATAGCCACGTGTCTTCTACCAAGTATTTCCACGTTCTTCAACTACTTTATTTGCTGTAAAAATTAATGGAAGAAAATATTCTCAAGAAATCCTGGCCTTCTCAGGGATTTGTGTGCTGAACATCCAGAGGTTGAAGAGGGCTTCTTGCCATCCTGCCTTCTCAAAGGGATTCCTTTCACCCCTCTGGCATGCATGGCCATGTCTTCAAGGTAAAGGCTCGCAAGCAGGTCTTTGCTCTCTCCCCTTCTTGACTTTTTTTATCATTTTACTTACATTTTTATCCTTGTTCTCAATTCCATAAATGTAACAATCTACAATGCAAGCTCCAGCATCTTCTTGATCTGAAAGACAAGACAAAGAGAGAGCTGATAAGAAAAGCAGTTTCACAAGGCAAAACTATCCTGTGACAGTAACTTGATAACAACTATTGTCATACAAAACTGAGTTTATCTATCATTCTCATTGTTTCCATTGGTTTGGTTTCTTTTTTTTTTTTTATTTCAGTTACCACCACTCACCACTGGTATTTTGCAGAAGAGAGCTAGATGCAAGAATAGACATTATCTGCACATATGCTTCTGTCATCTCAGCAAAACCCTCCTCCCACTTTCAGCATGTGCTTGCACTCAAAACGCAGATGAGGAAGCTCATCTCCTTTGGTGAGCACCAGACTGTGACCCTGGGAGGGGAAGCAGCAAGACATGCATGGGAGGTACCACCAGCAAGAGATACCAGCTAAAACCCGACAAGTGCAGCCTCTGAACTGTCTCTGCTGCTGCTGCCGCACACCTTCCACAGCCCTGCTCCCAAAGCACCACCTGCCAGTACTGACACAAACATTCAAAACTATCACACACCTGATCTATGTATGAGTCAATTCAATCCTCCTCCACTACTGTTTCTAACACATGTTCACTGAACTGCAAGATTCAATACTCCAGGCACCTCTGCCACTCCTCTTGAGCCTTCTTCAGGTGCCTCAATCACATAAAGCTGGAACACGGCTGCAGCCTATAGGTAGATATGTTTATATGTCATAAACTTAATTTTGTTAAAATCAATGGAGGCTCTGAAAAAAAGTAAACAAAAAAATGCAGGATGAACAATAAAATCAGGTAAGTCCTAGACAAGATGTCTTCAAAATCTTGAGTTTTATTTCCTTCAGGTGTTTTACCTTTTCCAAGTAAAGAAAAATGTGTTGTGGGAAAACACATTTGTCTCAGCATCCCAGCCCCTTCTAGGGATTTCTTCTAAACCCCAAATCCTCACTCAGCACACAGCGCTGTCAAATTTGGTAGTGCTAGAGTTGTTTTGATGGGAAGATCAAGCAGTTAAATCACAAGAGGCAGAAGTAAATTAACTTTTTCTAAACTACCTAATGAGACTGAAGAAAAAGCTGAGTCTTTGCAATTTCTATTTAGAATTTCAGAAATGAATTTGTCTACTAAAGCTCACACAAAACTAAATACTGTTTTGTCAACACTGGCATATATGGGAAAAACTCAATTGGACAAAAATCCACAAAACATGTATTTCCAAATCAGTTGCTTGCATACTAGAAAGCTGTCATTTAGAGGGTTTCAAGATAGTATTTTGTGATGTTCTATTTGGTATTTTATTTTACATTATTTTATTATGCCTCATTAAAAAGGAGTTACTTTCCATTTTCAGAATCCTTAAAGATATCATCATTAAGCTCACATAAAATTTTCACTGAAACATCTTTTATTTCCTTTCTAAGCCAAAAGAACTTGTGTTTGACAATGAAGCAGCTGGACACATGGATATTGCATGTGCATAATACATATTAACATTACTATACCTAAATAAAGCAAAAATAAAAATTTTAGAAAAATTAAAATTAATATAATACAATGCAAGAATTATGTTCATCATTTAAATTAAATTTTACAATACCTTCAATATATTTTTCATCAAAATAAAATTTAAAGGAAGTATTTCAGTATAATCCAAAGCAACATCTTAATAAAAAAACATTTTGTGAAAAAATTCTCACATATACTCAACTTGTATAGGGACTAACCAGGAAATAAGCTTAGCTGTTAGTCCCAGAATCAGGAGGCAGAAACATCCACTTTTCCTTTATTATTTATCTGGAAATTGACATTATTCACTTTTACTTCCTGCAAAATTGTATAAAATGATAAAATATATAAAAAAGAAAAATACTGTAACATAAAATAAAATTAATGTTTGGTTTTTCTTTTTTGCTGGGAAACTCCTTTTACCTGTTTGGGGTACAATGACAAAATTCCATTCTGAGATTCCAAAATGCTGGTTTCCACTGCTAGAAAATTAAAGCTCTGACTTGGATGGATCTTTGGATTCCACCACACCGAGGTACCAAGACCTCAGTGCCGATCACTCATCTCCCTGTCTTATCTTACAGAGGTGCAATGAAACATTGATTTCTTCGTGCATTGATTTCTTCCTGCTTAGGATACAAGTGTTCAGGTATTAAGCTGATCCTTGTTTCATTTCCATGGCTGCAAAGAAACATTTTATCCTTTTAAGGGATGGACTAAATGCTCCTCACCTTACTTGTTGATATGACCACTTTTGATTACATCTGCAATCTTTCAGTCTCATAGAGCCTTCCCAGCACAGAACGTCCCAGGAGTCAGCATGTTCTCCTGGCTAGACTTGTAGCTGCAGGACATGAAGCAATTCAAAATCCTTTTGGGGCAAAGCCACCTTGTGACACATCAGCAGCAATAGGTATGAATTTCTCTGGAGTTATAGCACAGGCAATATGTGAAAGGATATTCAGAACTCCATTTTACAGGCAGCTCACACCGTTACAGTAAGCACATGCTTCACACAGGCTCTGCTCAGGATTTTCCGTGTAAAGTACTTTTTAGCCATATTATCCATGCAAGATGCATCATTGCAGTCCCCCACCAACAAAATCAGAACAGATCAATTGCTTTGTGTTTTCCCCATACATATCATCTCCTCTGTGGTAAATTCTTTCTGGTCGCATCCTTCTCCCAGTGCTGACAAGAGGGCCAGGTTGTCCAGCAGCAGAAGGAATTGTCTGGGCTGCAGTCAGTCAAAGACTACAAAACTCCTTCTCGTACTTGGGAGTTCAACTGGGAACAAAGCCACATCCAGGAAGGTGTGTATTTTCCCATCCTGTTTTATCTCTGGTGCACTTGTATCACTGAGCTTCTGTTTCCTATTTGAAATCAGTTTCCCGAACACACAGTTCCCATCTTATAGGTCTCCTGGTACCATATGCTTAGGATTCTCCTAAGCTCAACAAGCTTTAGATAAGATCAAATTAGGTATGAATCAGAAGTTCTTCATGCTCACTGCAGAACTGATCTCTACTCTCCATTTTCCCAGGATAAAAAAAAGGTTTAATTTTGCACACTCACAGGACATCTACCCCAGACTCGAACCTTTTGGAGGGTGAGGAGACAGCAGGTCTGCAAGACAGCATCATCCCAGCTCACCTGTCAACAGTACAGTGGAAAGAGAGAGACAGGAAATCTGTTCCTGCTGAGTAAACAGAAACACTACAGTCTCACTTTGCTCATTATGAAAACATCGCCACTATGTTTTCTATCCTTGAAAAAGACAAATCAAAAATGTTATTATTTGTTCTGACAATTACAATGACCTTTAAACCTGAAATTTGGCCTGCTAAGGCATTTTGGAGTCACAGTTTTTCTTAATTCCTATACAAAAATGCATTACATGTGTATTTGGAGCAACTGGAAGTACTCTGCTGTGCAGCTGCAGACAAACACAATTTCCAACAAGGTGGTTCCAACATCTGACTCCTGTTTTAACTTGGTTTGGGGGAGTCAGTTCATTGGCTGGTGGCCCCTGTGCAGATTCATGGGTTTTGCTTGCTCTGAAAGTTCAGTGCATGCGGTACCCAGTTAAACTCCCTGGCAGGTTCAGAATTCCTTTGGAGAAGTCAGCCAGGAAAGTCATCTTCATGCCAGAGAGGCACTACCTGCCCTGCACTGCCATTAATGGTCTTTTGTAAAATTCAGTAGCTGTCTCGCCTTCAGATGAGAAATATGAGGCTGTGATATAACAAAGTAATTTGATTACACAGAAATCAATCCCCCGCAAGGATTTGATAACCGCAACAAAATTTCCTACCAAATTTAACAAAATTCCTACTTAAATCATTCTATAAGCTTGTGCTAAAGCACTTTGTTAAATGAAGACTTAAGCAGAGGAAGACAGTGCCTTTGTGCTCTCTTTGGAATAACAATCTAAAATGCTTCAAACTGGGTCTGGAGTCCCTTACATCTTTTATATTGTTTCCTAAATCAGAACAATCATCTGCAGAAAAAGAGAAATGATGGAAATTTCTCAAGCCGGAAACTGTTTCCAAGCTGCATTTTTCTTGAACAAGATTCTAAAGTTGTATATTACAACTAAATTAAATTGAAATGTTTTAGGCTGTGAGGAGTCAAACTATTGCCAGTGTGCTTAGCACACTATTCCTGGAATGCTTGTAGTCTCCAATTTGTTTATTGCTAGTTAACCATATCTATGTGGGGAAAACCCTTGCATATTTATAAGCTCTACCTCTTCCTTAGGATGTCATCATTTTGGTGGAGAAGGTTATTTTAAGAATGGGAGATAATATAAAAGCACGATTTCCTTTCATCAGACTTGTCTCTCTCCCTCACTTTTCTGCTCCTAGCTCTGCATCTAAATCACCACTTTCTTCCACATCTTGGAATAAATGTTTACAAGATGCAATAGCTGGATATTTCTTGTGGGTGTACAGTCATCCCAAAACCTGGGATTTAATGATTCACATAGATTTTACGCAGAGTTGGATACATTTCACCAGAAATAAAAGGGAAAAGCAAACCTGGTTAACTATGTATTCCTTTGTACACCCTTGGCTTGTCTCAGTTCAGTAGATGGAAGCACACATGTTTAGATTAACACCTGTAATATAGTGTTGGATAAAAAATTTGTAAAATATGCTAACTTTGTAATATTTTCTTTTTTTTTTTTTTACTCAAGCTAAAAAAACCCTGTTCTACAACACACTGCTGATGGAAAGGCTGTGTTCTGAGTGAGACGTGTTTCTCGGCGAGCCTTCACATTCCAACAACATTTTTTGGTGGTCTAAGCGCAAAACATTAATTTCCTTGTAGAGTCAAAGGTTATCACACTCAGGCCCAGCCTCCCAAGCTGCAGTTCAGTGGAGCTTCACCTCAGTCTTGCCATGAAGAAGGGGATTTGCACGCAAAGACCAAGACACCACGAGATGCTGAAGCATAACAGCTTGCCCTCAGTGGAAAGCAGCTCGCCGTGCTGCTGCAGAGCTGATCACACTTCCTTTTAAGCATGGTGCATAATAATGTTGTTTTTCATGAAATTATGAACTATTAAATCTGCGTGACATATAGATGAGAGAAGAAACGTTCACAGGCCCACTGTAATTTATGAACATGTGGTGCACAGATGTTACATGAGATTTTTCTTCCCTTTACTTTTCAAAATTTGCATTCCATTTTCCCTCCTTCTCTCTAGTGTTCAAACTCTGTATTTGATGCTTTATTAGATGTCTCAGCAGGGTAAATGGATGATTAATAATTGTTGATGACAGCAATTTGGTTTCTATAAGCTGTGGAGTGAAAGATAAATATGACGGGAACAGGCATACCTATGTATGACAACTAAGCCTCTTTAAGAATGTGTTAGGGTTACCCATGATTTATGGGAATGTCACCACTGTCCCTAGGTAGGGAATACCTCTTAAATTTATCTTACTGTAATCATCACTTTTTCTTCAGGTACCTAGGGGAAAAATATCCCAAAGAAAAGAAAAGAGAAGGAGAGAAAGAAAGAAAGAAAGAAAGAAAGAAAGAAAGAAAGAAAGAAAGAAAGAAAGAGAGAGAGAGAAAGAAAGAGAAAGAAAGAAAGAAAGAAAGAAAGAATACTAATTACTGATGATACTTTTCTCATTCAAAAGTTTGTTCTTAAAGAACCCCCAACTTTCTGGAAAACTAATTTCTCCTGAAGATAAATAGTTTAAAAACTACTACAGATTTTTCTGACTCTTACTGTTACAGTGTCATCCCCCTTTGGGTCTGTAGGAGAATGGAAACTCTCTGCTTTCCTGCACCTTTTTTCTCAGCTCCATGAAATTTTCATAAGTTAAATTTGCATGTAGAAAGAGAATGACTCCACACATCTGGTAATTAGTCTGGGAAATGTTCTGATACAAGAGATTATTTGATTAAGAACTGCAGTTGAACTATATTTCTATAAATTATTCCTCTTAATTAATCATTATGCATGTTGATAGAAACCTCATCTGATTTGTTTCAAGAGTACACAGCCTGACAAAGGGTTTTTAGAAAAGGTTAGGAAGTCTGCTTTCTGTTTGCGAAGAAAATAGCAATCATGTTAAGGTTTGGCCCTTTACTGTTGCTTTTAGTCCCAAGCTCATGTATACCTGGAAACCTAAGGCAAGACTGGCCAAAAGCACAGTTAATTTGAAGGGACAGGGAGGGACTATGCTCCATGAGAGGTTCAAATACTCTGCACCGACATATTGGCCTCCTCCTCCAAGACTTCAGAAGAAACAGCAAATTTCTATTTCTCCTATCTGCCACTTTGATCTGAGCTGCTGCCAGTGTATTCCTCCACAACAATATGAATTAATGAAATCAACAGAAAACTCCCCTTAATTTAAATTGGGTTTGGGACAACTTATCTTTAACATTACTAAATTAGCTTTGATTTTGATCACCACTTAATTGTGGACAAAAGAAGAGGAAAACTTAGAAATAGGGAATATGTGACAAATGCTTCTCTGACTCACCAGAGCTGGTTTCATCACAAAACCCCACTCCATTGTGCTGAAGCAAAGCAACATCTCTCAGTTGCTGGAGCAGACAGACGAGCCTGAGGTGCTGCTCCACTCACGTTGCGGCTCCGTGGCTGGCAGGAGGCACTGCGGGCACACCCGAAACTGCTGGGTTTTGGTAGAAACTCTGAGAAAAAAACAGCAGAAAAGTCTTTTAGGCTAAAAACGGGATATAGGGCTCTTTTAATTTGATCTCATTTGCTTCTGAGGACTGGGAGAGGCCCTGATGCCCTGCCAGTGTGTTGCCCTTGTGCTGCACAGGCTGTGCAGAGGGTCCCTCCCATCAGCTGAGGCGGCTCCTCTCCAGCCTTTCTTGATGATGGTAAATGCCTTCAAATGCAAGGATATGTGATAGTTATTGTCGTGATACCAGTTTTGAACCAGTGTCTCCAGAGCTGGAACCATTGTTAGTTTTAGGCATGCAGGCAATTTTCTTCAGCTCTGCCATTAGCAGATCGTCTTCCATCTCTGCTCTCCACTTGGCACAAAGAGGGATTGACAGAGAATTTGTGTAAGTTTGGCCTGGCTCTCTTGCCCATCCTAAGCTGTCTCCTCCCCCCCTCCTGCTCTGTCAAGTGAGGGAAAAAAAAAACAAACCACAGAAAAACCGAAGGAAGTCCAAACAAAAATGGAATTATATCAAAAATATATATTTACATATATTTACAATTATATATACAATTTGAATCTATTATACACACAATAGGAAGCTCCCGGGGGGGAAAAAAAGGAAAAAGGGAGGGGGAAACAGGGATAAAAAAACCCTAAAAACAAATTCCCTCCAAATATACACTGCTAATAGAGAGCTAGCGAATAAACAAATAAAAAACCAAATTAAATACTTCCCTGAACGAGACAACAGAACTGTGCAAAGCACCACCCAACTCCCCACGCCTCCCAAAAGGACCAGAGACAACGGCAGGTGTAAGCAGGCAGGCCTTGGCTATACAAGCAAAGACCGTCTGTGGAGAGACCTGTCGCCTTCAGCCACCAGAAGAGAGAAGAGAGTGAACTCTCTTATCTGCGCCTTATTTTTATGTTGTGTTACGCTAAAGGATGATATGGAATACTTCCTTAGATTTCTGACCCCCATTGCTAAGGAAGGCCTAAAAAATCCAAAAGCCAACTACTACACAGGGGGATCGAATAAGCTCCACTTGCCAAAAACCAAATAATTTCATACAGGTGAGAACAAGTATGTTTTAATTCAGAGACATTTCCCTCTGGAGCAAAATTCTCACTTAACAGTCTGAAGCACGATGTGCCTCTGAGTGTTTCCTGTCTGAAGAACGCTGAGTGACCCAACCCAACAGTCCTCCAGTCTCCTAGTGTTGGAGCATGTGTGTCAGGTGCAAGAACATGGACAAAGGGATGAAACCTTTCAAGTTTCTCCACCTTCCAAAAAATGCTCAAACTGGCATTCAGACATACAGAATAACAACATCCTACTGTCTCAGGTTACTGAGCAGACCTTAACTTATTTTAGGATTATCAGTAGTTTTTAAACCAGTGAAAAACTATAGACACCTGCCCTTCTATTTTGGCGGTTCTTACATTTTCATGTCACCCACAAGGCATTTATCTGGACTTCTGTAAAGCTTTTGGCACAGGCCCCCACAACATCCTTCTCTCTAAATTGGGGAGAGATGGATTTGATGAGTGGACTGTTAGATGGATAAGTGTGGTTGGCTGGTTGCATCCAGAGGGTAGTGATCAACAGCTCAGAGTCTCAATGGACATCAGTGACAAGTGGTGTCCCCCAGGGATCCGTATGGGGATGAGTCATATTTAATATCTTCATTAATGACACAAATGAAGGGAATGAGTGCACCCTTATCAAATTTGCAGATGACACTAAGCTGAGTGCTGTGGTTGACATATGTGAAGGACAGGATGCCACCCAGAGGGATCTGGACAAGCTCAGGAAGGTGGCTCGTGAGCTTCAGTATGATCAAGTGCAAGACACTGCACCTGGGTCAAGGCAACCCTCGGTATCAAAGAGGTTGGAGGTTAAACAGATGGAGAGCAGCCCTGCCAGGAAGGACTTGGGGGTGCTGGTGGATGAGCAGCTGGACATGACCTGGCAATGTGCACTTGCAGCCCAGAAAGTCAAACATGTGTTGGGCTGTATCAAAAGCAGCATGGCCAGCAAGGCAAGGGAGGGGATTCTGCCCCTCTACTTCACTCTGGCAAGACCCCAGCTGGAGTGGTGTGTCCAGATCTGGGGTCTCCAATACAAATCTTGCCCAAAATTAAATCTAGTTTTCTTTTCTGCTTTTCTCTCTTCACAATAGCTCAGGCAGTGTAGTTCTCTCAGGTGAATCAAGATGATGGATACTGCATTTTTTTCCATAAAGGCTGACCAAGAGGACAATGATGATTAGCATAAAGCTACAGTAGATAAAAGAGTTCAAGTATTCTTGCTTTGTCTGATACATTTCAAATACACTGCCCTGTGCTAATGAGATGAAAAAGAGGACAAGCTTTCTCCTTTCTTTAGTTGATCTGAGCTGGTCACAAAGATGGAGCTCTAAAAAAGTTTAACTGGTTCCAGCTGGATCCTACAAACCCTATGAAGGACTAGTTCCTCTTAGGCAGACTAGAAGAATGTAAATTATTCTTATGTCATGACAGTGGCAACCACTCAGAATTTCTACCATTGGGAAAAGTTGTGGAGGGCACTGTAAGAGTATGTAACAGAGAAAAGAGGGATTCTCTTAGGAGGATTTACAGGCTTGCAAAAGATTGTAATAACTAGATGTGCACAAGAGTAGACTTCATCAGGAAAGTATAGAGAACTGTATGCCAGTGGAGAGGGCAAAATAATGGAAAATACATTGTATTGAACAATTTTTTGTTAGAAGCAGGAAGGACACGATGAACTATCAAGTAATTTTTCTCACTATGCATGTCTTTTACTGCTTTTGAAAATAACCTGGCTTTCCAGATAGATACTTGCTGTGGGACAGCAGCATCATATTTACAATAGTAGTTCACAAAGAAAGAAAGAATTAATGGGGAGCCCTTTGAAAAAATGCATCTTTGACAACAACTGGCAGGTTTAAGTGTGTTGCTTTTATTTTATCTTCCATAAGCAAGTACGAATCCAAACTGTAACCTTTAATGGTGGGCACATTGTGCATAACCAGAGCAATTTCATGTAAATATGTGAATGTATTTAAACAAATAATCTAAGGCAGCCTTAGCACAACGAATGAAAAAAAATGAAAATCAATATAATCCAGAGTTACACTGGTGTGTGCTCTTGCAATATACACCTACTGGGACTTAGTTTAAAAGTGTTTTGAAATATTTCTTTCTCTTATATTTATTGTAATGGAAACTTTCCCAACTGTTGATGGCAGATATCATATGCTTGTGGTGATAAGAAAAATGGTAGATTTTCTGTTCCTACAGAATGTCTTGTTTTAGCAGCATACAAAGAAACACCATATTGTAAAGCTGAACTGGAAGCCTGTCAGTGACACAAAAATATGGAAGAAATTTAATTGTTTCCATAATTCCTTCTTTGAGTTAAATAAATCTACTCAGACATGTAACCCCTAAAAACCTGACAAAGCCACAGATGTTAAGTTAAACAGTTTGTGTTTCTTTTGATAGCAAACCTTATTAAATGTGAACTGATATGGTTTATGCAAACATGTGAGATACAAAATAGTAGGATCTTTTAACTTAATTCAGAGAGCAACTTCCAAATATAATCTGTAAATATTTAACCAGGGACAAAAGGTACTGGATTTTGCAGGATTTCATTAAAAACAAACCCAATAACCTGGTACACTCAATTATAGTATAGTGCTGGCAATGACTGCTGCTCTAGCCAGTATTTTCTCATAATGTCTGTTACTTTCTCCCATTTTGTGATTGCCCTGAATTTCTCCTCCTATTTTATCAAAACCAGGCCCCTAAATCAGTTTAGTTTATTTCTTTCTTCAGACCAAGGACAAAAAGGTAGTATAATTCCCACTAAATCTTGGAATACACTTTCTTTTGTACTAGCAAGTATTTTCTTTTACTAAAAATACAATATTTATCCAATGTTAAAGCCTGTTGTAAAATAGAAACTGAACTGGCAACACTGACTAAAACCACATATCCAACCTAATTCCTTTACATCTGCTTTTATTTCTTGGACTTCTTCAACCTTGCTCAGATTTCGGCTCCATGACCAAGTAAGCAAGAATTTAGCAAACGATAAAGCTATTGACCTGCAGGAACAGGCAGAGTTCATCAGGAAGGTTCCAAATATACTGTCCAAGGGGTCAACACAGATACAATGAGGTTCTCACCGAGCGTGCTGTCATGGGAGGCATCCAAGCACAACGCCACTGTGTAAAGACAAGAAGCCAATGTGTAAAGACAGCTATAGCACGGACTAATTACGGGCAGTTTACTGACACACTATTATGTGACTAGTATTGCTAACTAGTAGCTAGTCTGTTACTGATACTGTCACAGTATCACAGTGAGATGCGGCATGTTTATGTCTGGATGATCTTTTCTTATATGCCTGAGGAAAGAGCCATCTTTAGAAAGGAGGTAAACTTGAACCCAATAAACTGAACCCATCAGAAAAAGGTGTACCAGCTCCAGAGCTGAATGTGCCTGGCCACTGTGCACATGGCTGGCTGGAGAGAGGCAGCTGAACAATAGCTCTGAGCTCGTCACAAACACAGCAGTCCCACAACACCAGGAACACTGTTCCCAAGGGAATGTGGGTGAGCATGGCTGGCACATAGTGGAGACTAGTCCCTGAAGCACTGGGAAGATTTAGACCTGAGACAGAATTCCTCCTTAAATCAGCAATGCATGTACTCATCACGCTCAACATAGCAGAACATAAATCCTTTAGCCACCTCATAGAACACCAGAAAGTGATTTTTCAGAGCAACTGCATTTCAGATATTAATTTTAGGCTCTCACTTTTCTGCTTTGTTCCCCTCCAGTCAATTAAACAAAGACATGTAGAGGAACCAAGGAGAGAAATACGAGCAGCTGAAACAGAAAAGTGCTGTCATGATTGTACAATAGGTTGCTCGTATTTACAGAATTCTGTGCACTCAGATTCAATATTTTCCATATGAAGATCCTCACTTAGTATTA